GCATACTGTCTCGCTAACCATCAGTCTACAGACTGACTAACTTAATCTATCTCCACTCCATATTTCAGGCCTGGGGGGAAACAGCCCTGTTCTTTGCTCCTGTTCATGCATAACTATCAAAATTAAGCGTTGTTTCCTGCCGAGGTCTGAGCGCCAAAGACAAAGTAATTGTATCAATAAATTTCTCCTAATTGTCTTTTCTCTTTGTGTGAGTTTTTCAGATTGAAATACAGTTTGGTTAAGAGAAAATCAAAAGATATTTGATTAAGAATATACAGTAAGGATAACCTTCTCTGGTTCATTATAGTGGTTCTGGTGTGAGAAGTTATTGGAGACCTCATCTTATTTTTTTTATTATTTTCAAATCTTTCCCATGAAAAATATTTATGACCTTATAGTAAGGTATTTGAAGTCCATATTACACAGGGAAACCCTCTCTTTCAGTTCTACAGAAAGACAAAGGAATCTTTGAATAAACGAAAGGGTTTTATTCAGTGTTATTTTCAATAACCCTTATCCATCTCTTTTTTTTTCTGTAATTACATTGTAGTAATGTTATTGATTGTTTTGTTTCTTATTCTTTAACCATAGTTTTTTAAACAATTACACCCCCATTTTCCTTAAAAGTGTTTACAGGCTTTTAGCTTGTGACTTTAAAAGGAGTGATGGAATCATTGCCTTGATTAAAGGGATTGAAAATATACCTGAAAACTTTGATAACTTTTGTTGACTTGTGCAGATATTTATTTTATAAATTCAAATTGAAGGGCAAAACAAAAACATACAACCATACATATACACTTACTGCTAAGTAAAAGTTAGAGACGCCAATTGACCTAACAGCGATGTTTTAGGACTGTGAGAGGACCTGGAGAAAACCAGCACACACATGGAGAACATGCAAACTTAATGCAAAAACACCCTGTAACATTGCTAAAAACTGTGCCACCATGCAGCCCCTTAATCCAAATAATACTTTTATCATAAATAATTAATTGTACTTTTTTGGTGGGACTTGCATATTGATATTATACTCCTATTGTCAGGGTGTTCAACATAAACATTGTTTACTGTATGTTAACCCAAACCTTGAGCTTTACCGAAATAAAAGCGAGACAAACAATCTAATCGGAACCACATGGAATGGTTTGGTGAATTTCCACTGCTGAGGCTGAGACGTTTATGCACACTGATGCAACTTCATGTCAATATAGAGTCAGATACCTGTTTCAAAGGATTATTGTATGGGGCCGAAAAGCATTCATGTCTGAACCTAAGAAGAGAACCAAGTCGCAAACAAATCCTCAGCTCTCATTCATTTAAAATGTTGCATTACAGAGATTTTCTTATAAATAGAAGTGTTCTCCCTAAACACAATGAGTAATTCTTTACATAAACTTTGCTCATCAACACCACCAAAAAAAGTGTAATACTAAATCTAGGATGAGTTCAAATGCATGATAGGGAAAATGAAATGCTATAAACTACAGAAACAGTCGAAAAATGATTAGCTGAATTGGATATTGTAACATTTTTGAGAAGCTTTAAACATATTTAGGACTCTGTGTTATGGATTATAGTCTCTCCATCCACCAGAAACCTTTGCTGGAGTAACAGGTCCAGTCATCCCTTTTCTGTGTACCAGGCCATAAGAGATATATAATCCTCCCGTTTTTTTTTTTTTCCCAGGGCTGCTCCGAGATTTCCTCCATAGAGGTGTCCAGAAGATATCTTAATCAGATGAATCCTCTCGGCTGAGTGCTTTTGATCCAGACAAACATGGTGCTTCAAGTTCTCATACATAAAAAAAAAAAAAAAAGCCTAGCTACACTGTAAGCCGTTTTGATTATTTTTAATAAAAGAAAAATGAAAATAAAAGAAAATGATGAGAAAAAAATCGGTAACTGTATGAATTCTAAAGAAGAAAAGTTCAAATCAGAAAAACTGAATTCACATTAAGGTAGAGAATATTATACATGAAATGTAAAAAGATGTTTTTGTAATAGATCGATAACTGCTAAACATTCACCCAAAGCACAGAATACCACTGCACATCATACAGAATTCACTTACCCTACAATAACAGTAGCAGCAAAAATTAACAGTTACCTTTCTAAGCTGCTCTGTGCTGAAAACCCACATTGTGATACAATTTTATGCAATTAACTAAGTACAGTACTTTGCTTTTAATGGCACAATAAACCCCACTATATTTTCTGTTGGAGGTTTCTTCCTATTAAAAGAGTCTCTCCACTGTGCCTGCTTGGTGTGAGACATTTTTGAAGAGTCAACAATAAAATACAAGTGAAAATTGTTGCTGCAAACTAATCCAGGAGGAGCATCTCTTGCAAGTCAGTGACTGGATGCAATCAACTAGTTTTCCTTGACAGAAACCAATCAGACTGTACTGTCTCTGTAAAGAGCCTTGAGATGACATGTGTAGAGAATTGGCTCTATGTAAATAAACAGAGTAAGATAATAGATATCACTGTAGAATGGTTATCAAGGTGAAGAATGAACCAAACAATCAAATACAATGCAAAAACACAATGACCAGTTTGGTCAGCTGACTAAAACACTGCAAAACTGAACAGACACTAAATGGCAAAGACTGATCAAGACAGCACCAGCTGTGTTCTGACAAGTCAAGTGAAAGACAGAAACTGCTATTATACAACACTAAAGCCTATTGGATTGTAGTTACCACAAACAGAAGAGAACCGCATATGAAGCTTTCTACTATTTGAACAGATGTTTGGTCGTGTCAGTCTCAGTATGTTGAAACTTGGTGATCTCCAAGGCTCCAAACACTGCTCTTAAGAACTCACGTTCTGAGGAAATATTATTGTGGCATTTGAAACATACGCCTCACTTCATGGTTGTTTTAAAAAACTCTTTACATGTTTTATTGGTTGACAGTGCCTCAGATGGAAGAAATCATCTTGGAACATATCATCATGTTCCAGATAAAGGCACCTAGTCACATGTCGCTTATTAACCTGCATGATGTTGCATGGATTTGTGGTTGTTTGTCAGTTTAACTAGGTTGACATGGCTAAAGTGTAAAGTACCTTGAGTGTTCAAAATTACTAGAGAGATAACTGCAATCTTTAGTCCATGTTGTTTTACACGTTTTCTAAGTGTGACTGTGCTGGAAGTTCCTATTTTGTCTATATTATTATGCAGAGGGGTGAAATGGAGATTACTGCATTGTCTTTGTTTGCTGGCAATGAGTCTTACAGTTATAGGAACAAAGTCAGTTTTTAAAGAGGGTACTACAAAGAAGGTACTGCTAATGTCTGGCAACCAACTGCTTGCCTGACATTAGCAAGGTATTGGATGCTTTCTCTTATTGCTACTGGTGCCATCTTATATATACCCTACTAATGCAATGCATGCATCATTACCTTGCAAGCAAGATGAATTGTGGATAGATTTGTGAATTGACAAACTCCCAAAAATACATCTTGCTAGGAGCCACCAGATGTGTTTGCCTCGATTTTGGACCAAAGAAGTCAGTGAGGTGTAAGACTGAAGCAAAATGAGCATGGCTGCACTGATTTTAGCTGGAATACCCTATATTTCTTTTTGAAACATGGGCAAAAGGAAGCATTTTTTTTTCATTTTCGATATAGAGAACAACTATCTTGAATCAGAAGCATGAACGTGGTAAAAAAAAAAAAAAAAAAAAAAGAGGTCACAGTTATGATATATCTGCGTTAATATTTCTAAACTGCACAAAGGTTATTAAGATTTTATAAAGTGATCAGGTAAGGACAATTTTAAGAGATGGAGCTGCACTTTTTATTTATTTTTATTATTATTTATTATTTTATTTAGTAAGATCATACAACATGTATAAACTGTGCAATATTATTAAAAAGTAAAAAAAAAAAAAAACAATCCACTGGACTTTGTTTCCAACTTTGAAGACGTTTAACTTCCGATCTAGGAAGCTTTTTCAATTCAAAATGTCAGAAATTTCAGAAAGTTCAAGGCTTTATAGAGTTGACCAAAACCCAAACCTTGTTTTGGCTTAGAAAACATGCAATTTTTTTTCTCTCTTAACTTAGTTGGCTTCCTTCACACCCCTCTCAAACCACCTGTCTTCTTTGTCCAAAATTTGAACATTCTGGTCTGCAAAAGAATGTCCTTTGTTCATAAGATGTAGTTGTACCGCCGAGTCTCCCTGGATGGGAAGCAAAACGTCTTCAAACTTGGAAACAAAGTCCAGGGGATTTTTTTTATTTTTTGGAATAACTATGAACTACATGACAGAGAATCTTAGCTAGAAAACTGTGCAACAAACACTGCTTAAAGGGTCAACAACTTGCAAAATCAACTTTTTAAAACTTTTAACCGTGTTAAGCCATTCTTTTATCAAGTTCAGGTACAACATGTCCTATAATAATGAGCAGAATGAGAATAAGTTTGTGTGAATCCCCCCATCCAGGAAGCACCTACCTTAAACGTGCTGTACCTGCACAATAAACAATTTCACACATTTTTTTGACACTTTTACAGATCGGGCAGGCATGAGGGGAAGCAAATTGCAATGATTCCAGCTCAAAGTTGAGATGAAGTGACTCTTTTAGCAGCTAATCTACTTGTCACAGCAACTTTTTTTAGCTAATATCTGATGTAATGAAAAACCTATTTCAAAAGGTCTAGCTCTGTGTTCAGCCTTCAGAAGTGGAGTGATACAGTGACATCATGAAATTAGCGACACCCAGGTAGGAAGATGCAGCTTTGCTTTGTAGGCAAGTCTTTTTCTTTGGGGTTGGGAGAAAACAACTTTTTTTTATAACAAATGAATAACCCAAAGTGCTAAAGGCAGTATTTCTTCATATCTTTGTTAGGTGAATTTGTTAGTCTTAAAAAAGGCATGGTGTGATCTATAACATATTCTCCTGCTGGATAATTCATTGCATTACCAATGTTTTAATACGAGAGTTGATTGGTGCAATATTTGACATGCGAGGATGAATGAATGGACTCACGGTCATTGCACTGTGTCCCAGTGTAGGACGTCATGGAACAGTCGCAGGTGTAGTTCTCCCACTGCTGGATGCAGATCCCCATGTTGGCACAGGAGTCCTCCTGACAAGTTGTACTGGGACCTGTGGTAGTTCAACAAAACCCACCAAGCACACAGACAAACCTTGTGTTTAACAAGAATCATCAAATGCGTAGAAGTATTACAGACTAGGGTCATCTGTTCTTCATCACTTCTGGATAACATCCTGTTTGTGTAGCACATGGATGGGCTTTGTATTGAAAAACTCTGTTAACAGCTGAATTTATTAATGCAAACCTACGACATATATTAAACATGCAGTACCCAGTTGCCCTCAATTTTTAATCCTATTGAAATTCTATGAAGTTATTTAATGTTTTATGATGTGTCCATAAGGCATCCTGTGTGTTTACTTACCGTCATGTAAAAATCTGTTAGCTTCTAAGGCTATATAGATTTGTTTAATGCAACAAAATCTTGCAATTTTTCAGTTTTTATCCCTATTCTTTAATACACTGTCCTTATTGACAAACCTCTTTATGAGCTATGTGAAGGTCCTGGATTTTATGCAGCAACACAGGTATAGAATAATAATATGTAAAATATCATTGTCTTGTGTTTTGTAAAACTCTACATTCAAGATAACAGGTGACAAAGCAAGGATGTTGGCATGAGATGGAAAAATCTGAAAAGCCTTACATTTAGAAATAGTTTAACTTTAAGTCAGCTATTTTTCAAATATGTCACCTAAACTATTACACTCAAATACCAAAATTAATTTTGTGAGCAGTTTTTGATATGCAGCTAATTTTCTAGACATTGCTAAAAACAAAAAAACAAAAATAACAAAACAAAAAATAAAAAATACACTCATTCTCTCAAGAGGGTTGACCCAAAAATGTTCTACTCAGCGATTAACTCTTGTTCCTTAGTAGGGATCTAAAAATGTTCTACAACGAATAACGATATATAGCACCTCCAGAGCTCTGGGTATGCAATGCCCCTGGTCTGATTTTTTATTTTAACTTTTAAAAGTAAGGTTCAGGGGGTACCACATGAGTTTCCTCCTTGTTGAGGAGCAGCAGCTCCACTCCAATATCAACCACCATCCAAAGGAAGCTCATCCTGGATATTGCATCAGGCAAATTTTTTCTTTCAGTCATGATCCATGTCATCAGGTGGGAGCAATGGGGATTTTTGATAAGAGGAATGCAATTTTTTGTTCAAAAGGGTTGCCATTAGCACTAAAACATCAACTAGAACTGCAAGTACATATGATAGGGTTTCAAGCAATTCCCAGCATTTCCATTCCAGTATTCTCTATCCTAAATGTAAAATGCATGCTCCCCAGACTACTTTCCTGATTCTTACCATTATGTCCCACAATGGAGCAGCGCCCCCTTGTGTTGCTCACCATGAAAGCACTGCAATATTGTGTTTCATGGTTGACAAATGGCTAAACTCCAACAAATTTCTGTTAATTTCTTTTTTCTTAACATTTTTGTTAGCTAGTTAAAAATTATTTTAGCATGGGGATTTAGGTGAATGGGTGGGTGTGGTCATTTTTGGTGGGCTGGGGATAAAGCAAGAGGGGCTTGGTCATGGCCCAATTAGGATTCCAGCTGGGTGTGATTTGAAGCATAGATGAACAAAAAAATTAATAGCTTCACATATCTGGTTCGCTCCTTCCTCCTCATTTAAAACATTTATTGTCTGTTTTATTAAACGGAAATTGAACTGATACAAAAATAACAATAATAAATGTTTATATTATCTCTGAAGTGATTTAAAAATACAGTTTAGTTTCGTGTTTTTCCTGAGTTTTAAAGTTTTTATTTATTTTTAAATTAGATACCACACAAAATCTTAAAGTGTTTTTGTCCATAATCCTTCCCAGTTGCATATGAAGTAAAATGTGAACACTTACCTTGTTCCAGTCTGTCTCGAAAGGATTCTGATTTGGATTTAAAATAATAATAATAATAATAATAATAATAATAATGCCAAAATAGAAGGACTTTCTTGTTTAAAATCATCCCTTTATTTTCGGTGGCTGATCTTAATCATATAAGGGACTTTCATATGAGGGGCTCAGTGTTTACCAGTGGCACAGCAGCGCCATCTAGTGAAGGAAACAAAGTGGTGTTGCATCTGGGAGCTATAACCTTCAACTGCAGGCTTTGATAGATGCCAGAGAACAACAGACCAGCTTCATTTAATGGAAACTTGAAATGAAGAACAGAAAAAAAACAAGGTTAAACAAAATGACAGTGCCAACATAAAAAAACATAAAGCACACATTAAAATGAGATGGACACCAAGCTGTGATCGATGAGATTTTATTAATAATAAATCAATAAACCATCACTTTTCCACAGTGAATACAATAAAATATATAACATCACACAGAACAGTAAACCTTGTTTTTTTTTTAAAGCAACAAACACATTCATAGAGCTCTGAGGTAATGTTAAATAATGTAACATTCAGAGTACTTAATGTCCAACTGATGGCAGGTGTAAGAAAAAAAACAAAAACAACCTTCCATGCAAACAGGAAGAGTTTATGGAGGATGGCCTAGGACCTTCAGAGGATGACAAAAACAAGAAGAAGAAAAGAAAAGCTCTGAAGGATGAAAACATTTTTACTCACAGTGACATTTCTTAGCCTGTGCAAAATGTTTTCATGGAGCAGAGTTACATTGAAGGCATGGATAAAGCAGGAAGCTGCACAAAACATTCAAACTTTTGGCAAGTTTTCCTTTGAGAACAATGGGTTGGACTGCAATCCTAGCACATGGCCCCAGCTAAAACTGCACAACTGAAATCAAACATTGAAGATTCCAAATTACATATTAAACCTCTAGAAATATGCATTTACTTAATCCCAAGCAGCACCTGCTAGGAAAAACAGCTGTAAAAAAAATATTCAATGGGAACGCAGATTGTTAAACAATTGGACTTTGGATTTACTTTTAGCTATCATTCATCTTTGGTCTGAGTCCATTAGCATGTCACAACTTGACTTACAAATGTCCCCCTAATATAACCCATTATGTGGACAATTCATAACCACAGTAGTTGAGACCCTACAGATTTTTCTAGGAAAACTGAATTCCATTCTAACCTTTAATTTTTCTCTGATGAAGCTTTTCTTTATCGGCTCTAAATTTAATTTTAATTCAGAGAAAAGTGCAGAGTGACCAAGTGTATGTTTACATGATCTATTTTGCTGATAGATAACTTAAATAATGTTTGTTATCAGCAAAAGACAGGCGACCTGTCCAGGGTGTACCAGGCTTCTCACCTGTAGACTGCTGGAAACAGGCACCGCCCCCATCGCGACCCTGATAAGACTAAGTGGGCAAAGATGGATGATGGATGGATGTTTTTTTTTATCAGTCATATTATGGTAAACACATACTTTTCTGTAAAAATGTTAAGGCGTTTAATTAAAAGAGAATCATTCCCTGGGGTGTGGCGGTGGTGTAGGGGTTAAGCACGCCACCAATGTACAGAGGTTTTTGTCCTTAACTTGGCTGTCACAGGTCCAGGTCTCAGCCTGTTCACCTTTGCCGCTTGTCTTCCCCATTTCTCTAATCCTAGTCCTGTCTACCTACTTTCAAGAATAATAAAAACAAAGGCCACTAGAGCCTACAAAATTATATATATTAAAAAAAAAATATTAATTCTTATATCGTGTGCAAAATCTAAAAATAAATGAGTTTTTTGCTACTTTGTATCCAGAATTTGTGAAACATTTTTTTTTCATTATGAATGAAAGTGTGATTTATTCAAGTTTTAATCAACTCTTGACATCAATTGAAGTAGGTGATTGTTTAGGCCAATAAACCTAACAAATCACAGCAGACTGTTTTTTAAAAAGCATTGATGTTCGAATTAGCACTCAGCAAATACATATTTAAGCTGAAATAAAGCTAGGCTGCAGGAAGAAAAAAAACCATAAAGGCAGGAAATAACTGTTATCAAAGTTAATTTTGCAACCAGTTAAGGATGAGAACATATTTTGAGAGAGAAGTCAAGCATCTATTGTTTCAAAAACTATATTAGGCCCTCTAAATCAATATGTCTTTGCAGGGGAACAAGATTTGCAAACCAAATAGGCAGGGATTAATATGTTAGAAAAATACTTCACTGTGTTGGTTAACGTGTGTCTGTGTTTAGACCATTCAATATAAATATCAATCCAGTGGATTTTTTTGTATTGATTAAGAATTATTATTTACATCAAGGTGAATATCACAAATCTTAAATAAAAAACAAAAACAAAACAGCACCAGTGAGAAGTTTGAAGGACTGAACTGGCAAAACTGCTCTCATAGCGGCTGTGATGGTACATATGATGAATGGCCAATGTGGCCAATAATGTGGTGGAGATGAGGAAGCATTGGATGTTTGGTATGAATCTAGCAGTGGGTAAATGAGGCAACGAGCACAGTTAGTAGGATGGAGTTACTCCTGTATGGATGCAGAGCTGAGGAGCTACTGTTTGCATTGAGCAGGAAGAAAGGACTCCTGGAGCTGGAGTTGAACCTTGTGCTGTAGGAGTCTAAATCAGGCTGAGACCTGAGCGACGGTGTACCTTCACATCCACGCTCTATCTGGCCGCTGCGGAATAAGGCGTCATTAAGGAGGTCCGGCAGGCGACCGTTCAGATCCATTGAAGCCAAGCAACCCTGAAAGCCATCTCTGGAAGCCACCAGTTTGGGTAGGTTTCCGTACATGCCTGGACCCAGCCCTGCGATGAACAGATCACCTGAGGAAGAAACAGTGCAGGTTTGGCTTGTTAAAAAAAATAAATATCATAAAAAAGTACTGTTTGGCTTCATTTGTTTGAGTATATGGTTGGATATAGAATAGAGGTTTGCATTTCTACAGTCTTAATTATGTCCTTTTGCAATGTTTTATTTATAAACCTTTGAATTACAGCTACAGGATGAAAGAAAACACAATTCAAAACTCAAACAGTTGATGGAAAAGAAAAATAAGAGATTTGGATTGAAGCAGTGCTCATCTGAATGAACATTAGGTGCAAAGAAAGATGAAATCAGGAGAAATGTCATATTCTCGGCCTACCTTTCAGGTCAAGGTTCTTTGCTCCATTGATGGTCTGACTTGTGGCTGTGGCATCTACTTTCAGGGTGTGGGTGTTGCTGTTGTCTCGGGTGATAGCCACATTATGCCACTGATTGTCATTTAGTGACCTTTCACTTTTGCCCTTAATGAGGTTGGGCCCGTTTCCAAGATCAAAAACATAGTGGATGTATCTGCAAAGGGAAAATGTGTTCAGTTTCAAAGAGATCTGATAAAATCCAAACTTTACTTTGAGAGTTATACATTTAGGCTATATCGACTAAAACAGGCAACAAACATTCAGTTTGAAGATATTTAAACATATAGTTGCCAGGCAGAATAATAAAAAAAGATATGCTTTTAAACAGTCACTTACCCTTTTACCAATTCTACAGCAATAAAGTCATTCCCATCGCCAGAGTTGAAGAGAATGAAGCCATCAGGGGAGATGGTCTTGAACTGGAAGAAGAGATGCATGGATGTGTAGGCCTGCAGGGTAGCTAGGCTCAGGTAGCTGCTTTTTGTCTTGAAGGTAACCGGGTCAGCTATTATGGAGCGAACCCCGAAGCGAGCATTGAGCTCACAGTAATCAATGTCGCCATTCTTGCACAAGTCAATGTACAGCATGCCATTAAATCTGAAGGAAGGAAAAAAAAACATGCAATGAATAACTTTACCTCAATTAAATGTCCTTCACAGCATAAAAATATCAAGGTTGTATGGCAACAATAGAAGATAGACTAATAGGACTAATATTTTCTACCAAAGAACCACACTGACAACATTGCCACTAAAAAGTTCTTGATTAGGAGTTCCCCAGATTTCTAAAGATTTTTTTGGACTTCTTCTTTACTAATAAATAAGGCAACCATGTTTCAAACAAATGCTAGTTTGTTTTTGTTTTTTTTATTAAGCCTTACTCTGTCTACAAATCAGCTATTGGCTGTTTCAGACGAATAGTCTTTTGGAGCTATGATCTGAAAGCAGCATTCATAAGATGATTAACTAATTATGATTATAAATCTCTCAGGTTCTCTGTCAGCTCTTTGCTAAATTTTTGTTTCTTGTTATGAGACTTTTGAACACTGTTTATCTTCTACTTTACAACTTGAAAAAAAGCAGAGAAATCATGGAAACTACTAATTAAGATGGTCTAGATTACAAAAAAAAACATTGCTGCTTAAAAGGAACCTTACAGGAAATTAGCTCAATATACTGACAGATTAATTAATTGAGAATAGGTTTATCAAATGAAAGATTTAATTCTGAAAATAACCTTAAATCAGATACATTCTTTACTGTTTTAAAATAGTATTTATTGATCTCATCTTACGTTCTAATTGTAAAAGGTCCTTTTCTGTTTGCTATTAGCAGATAACTTTTCTAATTAACAGAAATAAAGTCTTAAAAACACCAGTCTGTTTGTAATGTTTCTGTGTTCTTTTTCATATAGTGAGCCACTAAAAATAATAATTTTCTATATGCAGTTATATTCTGATTAACTGAATATATATCTTATTATTTTCAATTTTGTTTTGAGCTATTTAGAAATTGCATTTGTTGATTTTTTTTTTATCTACCAAAACATATAAAGGGTACCGATTTGTATATATTTCACCTCAGAGGTGTAAATAAAATCTTAAAACCTAAAGACAGGAAGGCCCTCTTACATAGATACATATTAATTGAATTTTATTACAATTTCCACTTCTAAAATAGAAAAAAAATAGCAATACCTGACTCATTATTTTCTGATTAGAATGTCATGAGGTGCTGTAAAGATGTGTTTAGGAAGCATTCATATCTTTCTGCTCCCTTCAGACAGTACCAATGGGTTGGATATTTTGTCAGGTTACTTTTACATGTTTATTTAAGTTTATTTATGAATATTTGGTAATGTTTGCCTCATGTTTTTTTTTTACGCTGTCCCACATCATGAGACTGAATTACAGAATGTTGAAGTTGGCATTTATTTCTAGTATGAAAAACACGCACTTTTACTGCCATCGTGGAATCTGGACTATTTGTGAACAGCTGGTTCATGATGTCAGAACATTAGATTGGTTAAAACAAGCCTGAAATTTTTAAATATTAAAAATAATACAATAATTGAACTTTATTCTCACACTGGAGAATTTCACCTCTGTATTAACCCATCCCCTTGGGGAACAGTGGGCTGCCATTGTGTGGCTCCCAGGGAGCATTGTGGGGTTAAAGGTCTTGCTCAGGGACTCAAAGTGCAGGCTGTGGGGATTGATCCGGGTACTTGCAACCTTCTCAGAGCACAACCGCACACCTCTAACCCACTAAGCCAACACTCCCCACTCCCTGCATGGTTTTCACTTAAAACAACTTGTGTGCTGTTGGATATATATATATATTTATTATTTATTTATTTTATTATTTCTTTTTTTGCTTTTTTCCATAAAAAGTTTAAGGCTTCAGCAGACATCCAGCTTGATTTGCACTTGATGTTTAGGTTATATTTATTCACTGCAACTTTTAAACTGATCACAAATAGGAACGATCTCATAAGAGAAGAAAAAAGTATTTTAATCAAGCTATGACATGGACAACATCTTTTAATTCATCCAAGTGAGATAATGAGGAGAAAAAAAAGTAGAATAGTTTTTAAGTATTTAAAGTTAGTAGAAAGTTATTTAATAGTTAGTAAGTATTTAAAAAAAAATATTACTTCATAGCACAAAAAAACGAATAGTTTAAATCCCCATTTTATAAAACACTATTTTATTCATTTCGACACAATCCAATTATTTCGCTAAATATGTATGCTATTTTTTAGATAAAGTGCTATATTCTAACCAATTATTTGTGTTTGTTTGGTTGATTATGGTTCATAGCAAATGGAAACATAAAATAATTTCTCTTTAGAACTTAACATTGCACCAGTTAAATAAAAAAAATGAAATGTTTAATACAGAAAAGTCACAGTAGGCTATTGTGAAGCGTGTACATTCATTGTAAACCTATGCACAAGATGTTCTTTTAATCTGTGATGCGTCTTTTTTGCTGAGTTTTTTTTTTCACAATCTCAGACTAATTATTACAAAGATTGAAGTGAAATTTGATTTTTTTTTTTTTTTCCTCCTCTTAACCATTGTAATCGTTTTCTCTTTTTTATCTGCTGTACAGTAAGCGGCTCTGAATAAATGCAGCAAGGCCTCGGACACTCTGTCCCCACCATGTGTCATGGCGGGGCTTTGTCTTGTCTTGGATGGGATGTACTGAAAGCCGGCTTCGTGCAAACGGAGCTCAAGCTCCAGGCTGGGTCACACATAAAGTGATTCTGATTCACTAAATACTTAACTGGGAATTATTTTGCAAGAATTACTGCATTATTGTGTCGTGACATGAATGGGATCAGTCTCATATCTGGAGAACCAAAGCCTACAGACGTCAGAGTTTTCCCAATTAATCAGTGACTGGAAACCTTAGAGTGGAAGTCAAACCTTCTTACTTCAGAAACTGGACCCTTAGTTTCCAAATTAATACATTCATTTCTAAACTAACTAAGGAATATTATCTCTGGTTCAAAAGTGGTATAACAATTGTAATCCATGCTCCTGGTAGGTTTGTGTGCATGGATTGTTTAAGTGACCAAAGCCTCAGTAAACAACTCATGCCTCAAAGCCTCTGTGGAAAAAAGTATTATTACTTATACTTTGCACCAATTTCTCACATTTTTGCCTTCCACTTAACTTTTTGAACAGCCAGCTGCCTAAGCATTACATTTTTTAAGATTACACTGGGGTGTCTAAAACCAAGAAAAATGAACAAAATCCCAGCACAAATCTACGTAAACCAAGAGAAATTATCTGTTCGTGTAGCAAGATGATTTTACTTGACAAGATTTTTTGATTTAAGATATAGTTTTTTTTTTTTTTTTTAAATCCTGGAAAGAACCAAATAATTTGCAGTGTTGCATTTTTAGGGGGTAGGGGTCATTAACTATCTACTGTGAGCAGTCTTCCCCATGATTTTTTTGTTTTTATGGGTATAGAAACAAATTTTCTAAGAAACTGTTTTTTCTTTGTTTAGTAGACCTCTAGAGTCACTTTTTGAATCTGATTCCTGAGAGAAATGTACATTTTGATGATTTTATATTGATAAAATGCAGGTGCATACCATATCAAATGAATTAACAAGGGTTTTAACCTGCCTAATACAAATCAAGGTCTTATTTAATGAAAATCAAAATGTAGATGTTTGTAATCCTTGATATAAAAACCTACATGAATGCAGTAATGAGCATAAAATTTACCTGAGGCTCTGGAGGTGACCAATAAAGCTGGATGGGATGGTGGAAACGAAGCGACGCTCAGTCATAATTCCTGTTTCGACGTTGTGGAACTCCAGCCGCGTGTGATCGCCCACCATTTGTCCTGCAGACGGGGAGGGTGCAGGGGATGGGTTGAAAAGAAAGACAAACAAAACGAAAAGAAAAGAGAACTCTGTCTGACACTAACACAAAAGGGCTGATTTAAGGAAAAAAATTACATTAACAGTATTAGAGGAATGTTTCATAGCTAACACACCCCAGCATGGTGAAAATACACTGAGAAAGCAACACTGAGAACATTTCCAGTTGATGCAGGATTAAGTACCTTCTGCTACATCATCGTCAACCGTTAGCTTGTAGGTTTTGCCCCGACGCACCACACGCACTGTATGCCATTCATTATCATTGAGCTTTTGCCCAGCATACAGGGTCTCCGGTCCCTTGCCTGAGAACAATGGTCAGTCACAAAGTTAAGGACAAGGTCAGCCTCAAACCAAACCTTTGTCTTCCCACCCAAAGGTCTGGGCACAAACTTTGCAGGCTGCACAGAGGGTCAGAAATTAACAAGCGTAGAACTAATTCATTTGGGAAACAAAGGTTTGGTTCAGTCAGTGAATTACACAAAGAGAAAAAAAACAAAAAAAAAGTTGACAAATCTCTTCATAAACATCAGATTGATGCTGTTTGGAGGGAAAAATATTTCTACTCACTATAGGATGATAAAAAAAAAAATTCGGTTCATTTTGAAACCAAAAGAAACACAATCCTTAAAAGATATTTGAAAACTAAAAAAATTTTGCCCCACCTTCCTTCATATTGAAGCAGTTATTTGAACTAAGCAGGTATTTTAATTGAATGTACACTTTATTTGTTTTGTTGAATTGCCAGGGTTTATAAAAATGTCCCTTTGGTCTCATGTTGGAAGTACTTTGGAAGTCTAGGATTTCCAATCCCTTTCCAGGGTCTTTCAGTCCCTGCACAACTGAAGCCGCGAGCATGTCACCCCTGTTTAGCCTCCGTCTAGTGCCCGCTTGTCCATTTTTGGATTGATTTTGAACTTTTATTTTTCATTATAATAGTCTTGTCCCAACCTTCATTTCTGATTTATTTATTTTTTTTGTGTGAGTAGTAGAGGTAGTTTTCCCAGTTTTCCCTTAATGTCCCAAAAACTAAATATGAACTTTGGGGTGAATAGGCCTTCTTAGTAACAGCACCTGTACCGTGGACCCAGCTCAAGCTTAAATCTAAACTTAAGGCTTTTTGAATTATTTTCATTCTCTCTCTTTTTTTTTTTTTTTTTTTTACTTCTATCAGCTTTCTTGTTCCGCCTGTTTTGTATGATTTTATTTGTTAGCCTTTTGGGTATCTGGTTGGCTGTTTCAAAGAATGACATCAAGTAAGAGCTTGGTTTGCATTTTTGTTAATAAGTTAGACTTATTCTCACTATACTATATTAGACCCTGCCAGTGTTACTTTTGTCACTGTTGCTGTTTTCTTGTATAGTTTCACACCTTGTTTTGAAATTTTTTTTGTTTAGCCCTTTTACAAATAGACCAAAAGACTGATTTTCCTTACCAATCATTGGGACTTGGCATAATATCTGCTATATGCACCAGATCAAGGGTGTGCAGGTCCAGTGCTATAGTGCCAGTGTCTGGTATATTTTAGATTTAATCGCTACCAAAGCATACATTTCCTGGAAGTATTTCTTAGTGCTCCTGGAAGTATTTCTTAGTGCTCTCAACTCCATTCTCTGCCTAGAAAAGACCAGAGGGCCCAAATAATTGACCAGCATAAAGGAGAAACCATGGAGACATAACAGCCTAGAAACAGTTTTAATGAAGGGAAATAACTCTTTAATAAAGAGAGGTAATAAAGAAGAGATCCTAAACAAAAAGGACTATAAGTGTAGCGTCTCCCTCGACAAGAGATTTCGGCTCTTTTATTCAAAAATAAGTTTAAGAAAGCTAAACTTTGGTTGTTATTGAAAAAAAGCTTTGATGAACTTAATTGCTGTTGCCTTCATCAAAGGGTAATTTAGTAGTAAATAATTTGCACAGCTGAGTAAAACTGTTTTTATTCAGAGTTCAGTTTTATTACTGATCTTCGCATTTATTAAAAGATTGAGATTTAGGAATTATGTTGCATTACTTTTTAATTCATACATTTCACTAAAAAGTTGTGTCAAGAAGTCTTTAACAATTAACAGTGTGCTTGGCTCTTCAGGAGTCGCTTCCTCCACATTTGCATGAGGAAATAATTTTTGGATGCCTTTCTAAGGAGATGGTTTAAACATCTTCCACGGGGAGAAAGTCTAACAATGCAAACAGAACTGGATAGGTAAGTGTTGGGGCTGGCTTTGGAAACCACTGAGAGGTAATAAAGAAAGGAAAGGTTCTCTGCAAATCTCTGCTGAATGTGCTATCCCCAACATAAAGGTTATGTTAACTATAACCATACATGTTTGTTGAAATAATAGAAAATGATTTTTTCTTAACAAAAAAATAAATAAAAAAAATACAATGTGTGGAAATTCACCATACCTTTATCTTAAACGATGTATTTAAAAGTCTAGCTCAGCATAAGTTTCTTTTCATAAAACTGAGCTTTATATTAAAACATTTTTTTTTTTTTATTTGTCCGGCTGGCATGCTGCTTTCTCTGTTTAATTAAAGATATTTCAACTTTTGAGGAACGTGCAAAGTTTTGAGTCCAACAGGTTGCAACGGAACATCAAATACATTTAGAAAAAAATTGATAAACCTCTGGGCTTTTTTGGAGAAGTTTAGACTGCAGCCAACTTCTATTACTAATTTCCTTATTAAAATTACTTTAGTTAATAAACCACTTGAGTTCCCTGTTAAAACTCAAACAACTCTTTTTCTGGTATACTTGGATTATAATTGTTTAGCTGTGATATGATGTCTTGAAGCATCTCTATAGTCCCACTATGAGTGAACGTAGCAGCAGAAAGTCCTCACTACCCAGGACACTGTGAAAAATATCCAATAAAAAGATTTAACACCTCAAACTTCATTAACATCATTAAAATAGGAGTGATTTTTCTTGTTGTTTGTTGCTGAAAATCTGTGGACATAGGAACAATATAAGCTTCTTAATTGGGTTTTAATTCTCAATGCAGTGAGAGATAATTTAATTCCTTATATGGCATAAGTCATTGTCAATATGCAACTGGAATTAGAAATATTTGGTAAAATGAGGGTAGTATTAAACAATGATTATTTAGAGTTTAGCTGAATCTTAATTCTTTGTAGACAATATACTAAAAAAACTAAAATTGATATACTTTTTTCCGATAAGTTTAATGTGCTCATACACAACTATACGCATCTACTTCACAGCAATAAGGATGAGTCACTTAATAGCTGAGGATCTTGGCATATTTGTATATTTCACCCTTTAGAATACTAATAATACTAATCAATAGACCAGTTCAAAGAGGGGAAATTTAATGAAAAAAGGCTAAAGCTGGAAGGCTGTGTTCTCCGAACCCTTGGAAGAAGTTTCATGAAGAACCAACAGAGAAAAAGCTGATAGAACCACACAGACAAAGGATTAGTATATTTCCAGGGTCCTGATGCCATTGAAATACAGTTGAGTTTCTAACCCTGATTTTTCAACCAATTTCCATTTAGAATCACAACTGACTACTTTAAGCATTTAAGTTCGAATTTAAACCAAGGAAGGAAAAATTGACTTTTTAAAATTCTGTTCACAGTAGCTGGGTCCTACTCACATTAAGGTGGTAACATTTCCAATTTACTAAATCTGCCTATATATCTCCCTCTCTCCATTTATAAAGCCGCTCATTCTAATAGCTTGCCTTTAGTTTAAGCCTTTATTAATAAGGAGCATTGTGGCTCTAATTTCCTGTTTCCTTCAGCCTTTTCCAAAGGCTGTTCTCTGCCTAAATGGTTACTATAGTAACAATGAGATTTACTTTGATGCACGACTGAATTTGGACTTATTAAAGTAGATTTCAGAATAAGGAGACTGTCAGGAGATATAATGTTTGTAGATCAAAACCTCCCTGGGACATATGAAAAAAACATAGGAATAGTTGAAAGATCTTCCAGGGCTAGGGATCATTTCATCGCTGCACAGTAGCAAACATTTTACCTGTTGGTACCAACTTTCAAGCCCGTTATCCCCTTTATGCCTCAACACCACACTTGTTTGTTCATTTTGAACCTTTCTCATCAGGTGTTCTTGGTCCATAGTGTTTTATTAAGGTCGAGTTTTTGTCAAATAAAGTTATATTTTTAAAACATTCAGCTTCAGTTCGGACAGTTAATGGACAAAATCTTCTCATCTTTTTCATCTCATTTTGAAACTAATTTGTCTCAAAAACTGCGGTTATCTAATTTATATGGCAACTGAGCTCTTTTCTATATATTTATCTATCATTTTTGCACGTCTACACATTCAGAGACGTATCTCAGAGGGTGGAGCTCTGGTTCTCCAAGTTTGTATCAATTTGACTTGGAGTTGTAGAATGAAACTAATAACAATCCAATTAAAATGTAAGTATATGCATTACATTGAAAGCAAAGAATTAATCAATTTAGGGTGACAACGTTTTCAACAACTTATTAGACCAATTAAAGGACTTTAATACCAGCTATTAATCTTAAAGAACACACTTTCTAAGCTCAGAATTAGAAAGAAAGAGAAGTAACAGGATGTATTTATATATATAGCAATTGATGTCAATAATTTTTAACAACAAAAAGCAGGTATGATATAGTTTACACAATATCAAGTCATTGATTTGAGTCCTTTTGATTACATTGCAGAATGTTTTTATTTTAACTAATTTATGTGTAATTATTATTGGGTTGTATTGCTTTTGAAATGCTCTATTGTCTACAAATCCCATCACTCACTCTAATAAAATTCGCCTAGTATTTAAGCTTTTAGGGGCTGTTAGGCTAAATTATGCTTGACATGTTATGCCTTTACGGTTTGGCAGTTCTTTGTGTATTTATGCGTATGGTTTTGTTCAGTTAAATCTATTAGCTAACATTTATTTAAAGAATTCAAAATATAAATCCTTCAGATGTCATCCAAAAGGAACATTTTCTAATCCCAAACTGAGACATACTGAACATTAATATAATAAAGGTTAAAGTAAAGTGGGAGCCACTGCAGAGCAGACATAAGAAGAAAAGACAACAAGAACAACAAAATGAAACTTGAGTGTTAACTTACTGGAGTTACAGTTTATCCTGATACAGTCTAGATGGGGAAGAATAAATGACAGATGAAATTGCATCCTTCAAGGTTACAGCTGCAGACATCCAAAAACAAGAAGTCCACCCTTCCGGGGACGCACACATGCAGGATGGTGGCCATTTCATTCTTTGGGTTTTTATTATTAAAATCGTATCATTTAATCAGAAAAAATAAATGAAACATACATAGAAGGTTTCAAAGAGTTCATGTTTTTTTTTTTTATATACATATAAAGTTTAAAATTGTATACTTTTTCTTTCTTTACAGTAAAATGGCCACTTATGGTACCAGCTACGAGGCTTTTCCAACCCAACCCAACTCCAAATGTTAAAGGTTAGCTGCATTCAGTTGTTTCTTTTCTTTTACATTTCTTTTTTTTTTTTGTAAATTAGAAGAAAAGCTGGCTGTTTAGTTTTTAACATAGAGAAAATACTTAAATAGTGCAAAATGAAGTCTAAGCAGCTGCCGTCTGCAGCTGTGAGCACACTGTGGGTTGGTCACCGCGTGGCTGGTGGGTCATGTGTCGTCAACCGCAACAGAAAAGTGGGAGCAAACAGCCTCGATCCAATCAGCACCAGCACCGTGCAGAGGCACCGGATCCCCAGCTCAAGTCTGAAGCGCTACTCTGCTGTTATGTTTGGCTTTAAGCTGCATCAGGAGCTCAGACTGAGAATATTTACATTTTAAGAGAGAAACTACAGGCTAATATGAGCACTGAACAAATCTAAGGGGCTTAATATCCGACAAGGATTAATGTAATCAGTTATAAAATAATTTTAATGGGATTTATAGATCATCTAACGTCTGTTAACACTAGCATTCCTAAATGTGCTAGAAATCAGACACTTGAGTAAAGATTAATTTAAATCAAAACAAGAACCTCAGTGTTCGGAGGTTCATGGGGTCGCAGCCAGCTGCAGGTTTTGCTGGGCTCTGTTCTCGGGCTGTTCGCCTGACGGGCCGCAGGCTTAAGGCCTTTGAAGGGGTGAATACCATCTTTTGACACAGCATAATGAAAGGATGAAGGCGACAGGAGAATGGAAAGAACAAGACGCTGAGAAAGCACACCGCTCATTTAAGATACTGCTGTTAGCAAACCAAAAAAATGACCTGGAGTTAGTGAGAAATGCAGTAGGAGTTCATTCTAAGGATTTAGCTGAGCCACTCAGAAACTTAAACATCCTGAGAGTTTATGCTGCAACTTCCTCAATTAATCTCTAAAGAAATTTGCTGTTTCCTATTTTCAGAGATACGCTACTTTTTTTATTTTTTTATTTTTTACCCATGTTAGAACATTTGGGTTCAGAAACTATTTTGATAGTCATGCAGAGAAGAGAGAAAGCTAAAACTGTGGTCTATTCAGAAACTTAAGGTCAATAGAAGAATTAAGGGGGTGAGAGAAGAGAGGAAAAGCAGTGGATTAGAGACTTTACCCATGGAGGGTAAAGCGTCTCATGGCGAAGATGGAGATGAGGGGGCAGATGGGTGAAGAAAGAGCTGCTGGTGCTGCTGGTGTTGGGGTTATACGATACCTAAGTTGACTGTGAGTTTGACGCGGCTCCCATCCAACTCAAGCCGCAACGTGTCGGCCGAGTCCTGGGAGGTGGTGGCCATGAGGAGCCCGTAGGCCCGCTGTGAGCGGAAGCGCAGTGAGACGTCTTCAGCCTCAGTGTGCATGACGGTCGGCATGACCACTTTCATGTACATGCTTCCATCATAGGAGAGGATGGAGGCCTCTGTGGGAGCAAGACCAAATGGATGTTAACAAACAAAATGTCCACTTCTGATTTTCTGACTGGTGAGACTTGCGTACAGTACATGCACACCTTCAACTTGGATCTTCAAATACAAGAACAACTTCGTTTTCAAGACCGTCAAAATATTCCTTTCCAAAAGGCAATTTAAACAAATGATCTAAAGCTGCTAATTTACAAATTAAAAGCTTGGACATATTCCATAAGTGACTGCACAAAATCAAGATTTTCATGGTTTATCTATCCCAATTCAATATGTTTCTAGTCTTATGCTTGATTTGATCTGGAATTTTTGTAACTTTTTGCATATGTAGGTCCAAAGCATGAACCCTAAACATCTTTCATAATAGTCAGGTGGTAATTACAAGTTCCACACATCTTGACAAACTAAGTGTTGTTTATGACTTACCTTAACCCAATTTAACTCAAAAGTTATATTTAACTGAAATTTAAAGTAACCACGAGCCTCAAAAAGAGGAGAAAGTAGCCTTTTTTAGATTTTTTTTAAGTGGCTGTGTGTTTATTTGATAAGTTCAAAACCAAATTAAGTATTTTGCTTCTGGAAAATCTGTAATTTAGATTTGACAGGTCCAAGTGGTTCAGAAACTTTTCTTCTCCATCATTCTTTCCCTACAAAATAACAAAAGACATGTTCAAATTAACCTGTTGTTTTAAGCCTTAACTGCTTAAACCCTCATTCTCCTATCATCAAGCATCATTTAACCAGTAGAAAAGTTAAATTAGTATAGGAGTTTACCTCTTTACAATTGTTTGTTTGTTTTTTCTTAATTTAAGCATTAGTAAGAGAACTTGGCAAATAAACAAAACGTTTTATTCTTGACTATGCCTAACACCAAAACACTTGTCCAGTTGAAATGTTTATTATAATTTTAAATAGCAATTGTAAAAAATGTACAGAAATATCCTGATAATTACTTTATTTTGAAGTTTTCTCATCAGAAGACAGAAAAAAACACCATTCCCCCAACATTGTGTACAAAAATATCTACAGTGTGGAATAAGTTCTGGTTCATAGGAACCACCTGTTTGAGAACCTGAGCTTGTCCTTCATACACAGACACTGTTTGGAGGAGGGACAAGCAGGGAGTCTCAGTCTACTCCCAGTGACGTACAACCTGCCACAGGAACTGCTAGTCATCTTCTACACTGCCTGCTGTCTGTCTTGTTCACATGACCCACATCTGTTTGGCTCTTTCTAGAACAGGAACGGTCCAAATGCAAGAAGCAGTCAGTCTTTAGAGACGGCCACCAGGACTGACTTCTCCCTATCCAGAACTAGTAAAGATATGGGCCTAAGAAAAGGGTATCTAACATTTCTGCACACTCTGTACATCTGTGACAGAAAACTGTTTGGCATTCAGGTTAAAGCTATATTTGACAAGGAAGGTGCTTAGTCTCAACACTTAACAGTCATTGTTCTGCCCATCAGTTTTACCCATATCATGCATTGTGTACCAAGTTAACCTAGTCTTTATTTGCATAATACATTTATGTGTTTACTTTATTGAAACAACATATACTTTTTTAATTCACCACCTTTTTATATTGAAAATATCTGCACAATGAAAACAATTTAGTTCATTAAATGGATATTATAGCATGAGATCTATTGAGTTTTTGATTGATAGAAAACATTATATCTGTCCATAACTTTTTATAGAATCAAGGATCAAAATAATAATAATTATTATTATTTCAATGAACAGATCCAATTTCCCAGCCTAAGATCTGTCTGCATGGAGTTTGTATGTTCTACCTGTGCATGCGTGCTTGTACTCCACCTTTAGTTCACAGACATAGCTATTAGGTGAAATGGTATCTCTAAATTTTCCTTATGAGTGTGTGTGGGTGAAGGTGTGTCTGTGGCCATGTCTTTGTTACCTGGTGGGGACAATTTCCCAGGAATATGCTACATTTCGGGGACTTATAGATACTTGTGGCGACTAACGACTGGTCCCCATGAGGAGAGGTTCTGTTCTAAGGTGTGAATTGATTTTAGGTTAGGTGTAAGGTTAGATATGTGTTGGTAATGGTTAGAGCAAAAGTCATGGTTAGGCCAAGAAATTAGTGGGAAATGAATGGAAGTCAATGGAAAGTCCCCACAAGGACAGTAACACAACATGTGTGTGTGTGTATGGTTGTGCTGTCCTGCAATTGACTGGTAAGCTGTCCAGGTGTGACCCACCTTTCACCCATGGATGGATGGATGGACGGACTGACGGATGAATAGAATCATTCTCTTTCCACTCAAAAATTATTTACTACTTTGAGTTGGTTTCTTACATAAAATCCCATCAAAATGTGAGAAAATGTATAAAACAAAAACTAAACTGATGTTGACAATTCTCATGCTGAACTGACCATGGATTTGAAACAACCAAACAAAAATCATTTTAATAATGTTTTTTGTGACCTCCAATAAGTTTCCTCTATAGGCCTCAACAACAACATACAGAATATTTCTCTCAAAGTTCTTTCAAAGGTTATATTTTATGCTTTCCAGATTTCAACATACATATGCCGAAAGCTTTAGTTTATCTCTGCTTCCTTTTATCCCAAGCTGAACAGCAATGATTCCCTTTTCTGGCCTTCAGTTGGAACCATTCAGAGATTATTATTGTTTCTGTCAAAACAATTTAATTTGATAAATGATAGAACAAAATGCTGAAGCATTAGGTGTCCTCTAAATGTCCTTTTGTTCTCTTTTACTGCATGATCATCAGGCTGTAAGGATGTCAAAAGGCCACATGAGGGAGACACAGTCCACCTGTCTGCTTACTGGTGTGAATTTAAAATTAGAAAAAAATTAAGCTGGATATAATCCAAGCAGCTTCATAAAGTCATTTGCTTAAATATTCCAATAATATCAGTTTAACAATACACACTTGACATGTTATTTCTTCACATGTTTACTGCAGGTAGGATAAATGCTCGGGCAGAGGAAGGTAAATGAGCCTGAAAAGGTGTCGCATTACTATTTAAGCCCTCCTTCCAGCTGTGATTTGGCCTGTCAGATTAACTCCGACATTTCATGTTTACTTCAATGCAGCCGCTTGTGAGATGGAGGGTGTCCACACAATTAATACATTTAAAACTATTAAGGACTCTAAGCTGGTGTCCTTTTTATTAGATGTACATAATAATGAAAACAAGAAAATCTGTTTAAAAAGTGACAGATTTTATACAGAATTCTTACACAGAATAGTATAAATCTAAATGTTTAATTTATTTAACTCTGATGATTTTGGCTTTCACCTAATGAAAACTTCCATTTCGGTTTCTCAAAATATTAAATAATGATGAAGACTGTTAACAGTAGACACAGTTACAGCCCCACAAGAGTAAAACCAAAAATATCCATACTCAAGAAGCTGAGTGTTCAAAAGGCACTGTATCCGGACCTATTAAATGAGGGTTAGTTAGAAAAAAACAGACAGTAAAAGGCAGAAACTATAATCAGTCTATGGTTACTGCACTCCTTGACTTGTCAGCAAAGTGACCTGACCAACACCTCATAGAGAATCTATGGATTATTGTCTAAAGAAACATGAGAGATATCAGATCAACAACGCAGGTGAGCCAAAAGCTGCTGTTAAAGGAGCTAGGGCTTCCCTAAGCACCTCTTGTACAAAGAATCCTTGAAAGCATCAGGTGCGTAACTACACAGTACTTCTCTGGAGGCAAACCTTTCAAAGGTAAGGATCCTTGTTCTATTGATCTTAGTCAATGTTCAGGTTTTGTAAATAACAGAGGTATGTTTTTTTTCTGTGGGAAAATCATTAAAACCTGTAGAAATGAAAGATGTGTGTGTGTATATATATATATATGTAGTATGAAAATGCAAACCGCTGAAAATTGCAAACCATAATACTTACATATATGAAAGCAACATTCTAATCAATATACCACCCATTGAAAGCTCAACTATGTTGTTTTTGCTAATCTTAATATATACAAACTACACCCTGTGACAATTAAGAATAAAGTTAATGCAGCCTGGCCTGCCGATAACCTGCAACTTCTCTTTACCAACATAAAAATAAGACTCTGAGGTAATGGTGTTTTTAAACTGAATAACTGAAATGAGGGGAAAAAAAGCTGAATTAGGTGATATGATCAGATGCTATTTATTTGATATGTTAAAGGGGTTGTAGACAATTTCAAAGGGCGAACATTAGTTTCTAATTGATAGATAATTAATAAATGGTTTGGACATATGAAGAAAAACTGGATAAAAGGACGGTGGTTTTCTCTAAGCTGGCTAAGATGTGTTTATGAAAATAGGTGAACCAAGTGGTACACTTAAGAAATAGCAGGATCTAACTGTCAAAGAAAACGACAGAGGTATCATTATTGGGGTTTATTTGACTCTAATATTGATAATAATAGATATTTTCCAATTTTTTTGCTTTCCCAAATTTTTATTAAACTGAAAAGTGATGGCTTATCAACCAAAGATGAATAAGTGAAACTGTTCAGCAATACAGCAACAACTCCACCTATTTGCAGTTAATTCCAGTAGATAGGTTCCTTGCCTTGGGAAGACCTTCCTTACAGATGTGTGTCGAATTCAGGAGAGACTCATGCAGAACAGAAAACTCGTGTGTCAGCTGTAAACGGATTAGGAATTAATTTACATCTCTCTGAAGACAGAGTCTGCAGTCAGCTCAGCAGTAAAGTCGGACGGTGAAGAGATTATGGAAAGGATGCAGAAGGATGTAGAGGGGCAGGAAATTTCAAACTCAGGTGATACTGTGTTGTAATCTAAAACCTGCTTGTTTAATCCATCAATAAGGGGGATTTATTCTGAACATATAAACAGGTTGCAAAATGGCCTCCAAACAAATCATCACCTTAAGTGGTGCTATATTTATCCCAACAATTACTTAATAGCTGCCTTTTTAAAAATAAATCTTATTTGAAAATATAATTTTTTTGTTTAACAATCTAAAGGGATGATCACAAGTTCAAAAGGCAAATAAGTAAAGTAAAATCAAGAGGATTTTTAAAATCTTCTGATGATGGAGGAAATGTATTTGTTATGGCTATTTAAAGAACATACTTTTTTTATCAAACAATGCACACCTTAATATCTCCAACAATCTAATAATGTATTTTGACTGGAATTAAAGCTTAAATTCTTTCTTAGTAAACCATCACAAATAGTACCCTATCACTGCATTTTCAAACTAAGCTGTGTCTCCTTTGAGAAACATCATGACCAAGACCCAAATTCCGGCCTGTTTTATAAATCGAGTGCTGTGCTTCAACCTTATATGAATGTGTAAGGTGTCACATTGGAAGAAAGAGCTTTTTTTGTGTTAATTTATTCATTTTATTTTTAATATCCATTTTATCTTTTCTATGTTTTTGGTTATCATGTGCTACTTTAGGAAAAATTGTTTAATTAATAACCTCATCTGATCTTGTCAGCAGTTAAGTCTTCACTCATGTTCCAGAGTCATTTAAATTATACTTTGCTTTGATTAGGTGCTGGATCAATTTTAAATCAGTGAATGCAAGTTAAATATGTCACTTGGATACCTCCAACGCAATTTAGTCTCTTGGACCATAACAGTTGTTTGTTTTGTGTTAGACTTTTTCCTTTTTAAACACAAAAAATGTCTGCTTTAAAGTATGTTTGGCTCCCTTACCCCATAAGAGTGTAACCAAAGTAAAGTTTCATATCGAAGTTTACCTCTCTCACAGGTGCGGGACCAGTACCCAGTGCCGGTGCAGTCACAGATAAATCTGTTCCAACCCTCCTTGCAGACTCCTCGGTTTTTGCATGGGTAGCTCTCGCACTGTTTTCCTTGTTGTTTGTTACATGAGGGTTTGATACCGGCACCATTTTGTGCCTCGGCGATTTGTCGGATGTCCTTGCTGCGACCATCAATGAAAAGGTCACGAATGCACCCAACGTAGCCGTAGTTCAGCATTGCCGTCCAAAGTTCAGTAGGCAGGATAAGGTTGGACCGGTCAACTGGAAGGCCTCCCAGATACATGTCCCCCTCCAGGTCCAGAATTTCACTTTCACCACTAGCTGTAAACGGCGTCCGTCTGCTGTTTACAGAGATGGTGCCTATGACAGACAGGGACAGATTAACAAAAAAAACACAATACATGATATAAAGAAATAAAAAATGTATATGCCCACCACATGGCTCCTGGTATGATACACACTTCACTCAGCAATTGCACCATTAAATCTTAAATGTTACTTTGGGGCTTAATTGGAGCTCATCAGTGTATTTATGGTCTAACAGAATTAGCTCTAGGATCTAGGATTCTTTATCTTATAGGGCTAAAAATGTTCAGTTTTATAGGGTAATTTATCAGGAATTAACCAGGTTAAAGCACAAAGACAGTATGCTTAAGAACCTTTTCAGTGTTTAATACCAGTCTAATTCACTAACTCAAGAACACATCCTGTCACGAAACTACGTTGATAATTTATAGTATTTAGAATATGATCATTTTAGCATTTTGTCTAAAATAACTAATGTGAATTCATAGATTAATGGCAGGTTCCATAAAAAAAAAAAAAAATCAATAAAAAAAAAAAAAAGAAAAAAAAAAACCTTAGACAGGCAGCAGATTATTTCTGGTAAAAAAGCCATTTAGTTCTAAATGTCCTGAAAATACAATCTAATACCAACAGAAAACTATCTTAAAGACTAAGCAACATGGCTCAAGAGGGTTTTTTATTTAAGAGGGACATAGTGATGAAAATAAAATAAATGTTTATTAACCTCCCTCAACCCAGACTTTATCGTCTATCAGGAATCATCCTTTCAGTTTAGTTTGTTTAGCTTTAGCACTGATGACAGTTGAACTTGCTGAACTTGTCTAAACTTAAATAATCCTTTTAAATGTCAAACTGTTTAGGCAGTAAGTATAATTCAGAACTGAACATGCATCACAAGGTAGAACATTAATAGTAATTCCACTTTTTACTAAAAACAACAATATTGACCTGATCGTCCATCTCTCTGGATGTCCACGTGGTACCATGCACCATCATTTACTTTCGTCTGGGTAGCTTTCACCTTTATTGTCCCTGAGCCCATGTCCAATAATAGGTACAGGCTGCCATCCAAGAGCTCAACAGCAAAGAAATCCACCTGTGTAAGAGAGCACCAACAAGGACAAGCAATGTGTTTTGAAGCCTTCCAACAGCATGTTACCTCTTGTTTGTGAACATGGTCAGGGGAAGTTTATACAAATGAAACTTGAAATAGGAAATTATTTCAGGGGTTATGAACTGACCTTGGTGTTTTTCTGGCTGCGAGCATTATCTTTGCGCTCCTGACGCTTTCCATGGGTGAAAAGGATGAGTCCATTGGGCTCAGTCGTGCGGAAGTCAAACGAGATAGATCCCATCCGCTTAGTATTCCACTTGGGGAGGCTGATGTATGCCTCTGGAGTCTCAAAGGAAATTGGGTCCAAAGTGGCCACGTTCTCACACTTGTAGGACACCTCACCTTGGATTTTCATCTTTGGATCCAAAATCCGTGCCATCCGAGACAACTCTAGCCGGATATCATTGTTCTTGTACACTACCTGTGAAGAGGACAGGTTTGGCATGTTTAATATTCTTTACATGCAACAATACAGAAGTTACAATCAGCTTGAAAGAATGACATTAAAATAGCGTCAATTTAATTTGTGTTTTCAGAATTACACAAAGAAATAAAAAATTATCAGGGTTTAGCAGATGAATACAATCATCTCTGAAAATGAATTTCTTTTCAAGCTACTGTTAATTAACAGCATGCCTATTCAGACTGCATGATGGACAGAGTGGTGTGGGATGTAGTTTATTAGAGTATTTGAGCATCCTGACATTACGTAACAATTAGGGGCTCAGAGTAGAAATACAGAAAAAAAATGACACATATATGGCCAGTTTATTTTAACTAAGATATTCAAGTTGAAGAGACATAATATTTTCTAAAAAATATATTTACAATAACCTTTTTACTTGACCCTTTACAAATAAAACATTGTTAGATGAGCAGACTGACACCATAGTAGTTCAGCGCCAAAGCATCTATACCTAGCAAAAAATCTAAATGTTATATTCAAGATGGGTTTGTGGATAGTCAGAAGCAACTGCATCCAGGTCAACTCAGACACAGATGGCAACTCCACATAATAGAGAAAAAAATACATGCTAATGTCATGGTTTTGTTCTAGTTTTATATGTCCTGTCAAACCTCCAGCACCATTGTGACAGTACAAACCAGCCAGAAATGGACCCAGCAGACTTGGACTTAGTTTTGGGCACCAGAGAGAGACAGCTGGAGAAACGGGAGCAGCAACTGGCTTTATTAAAAGAGGACATCAATCAGTTGGATATACAACAGGGCAAGTTCATGATCCCTTTTTCCCAACAACTTAAGTTCCTTGTGAGTCACTTCCAGGAATTTCAGACCCCCCCTGGTCAGCCTGCTACTAACCATACTCCTCCTAGCCTCTCTCCACCACCCAACCAGACTAGTTTTCCCTCTCGGGGCTCAGCTCTTTCTAGTTTTTTCCTCTCTAGGCTCAGCT